AAATTTCAATGGATTCAAAACATAGGCTGACTTCAAAATTACAGTAATGCAGTGAAGCTGAAATGTGTATTAATACCATGTAGCTGTAATTTTGAAATATGCGATATTTTATATTTAATTTTTTTAATAAATTTCAAAATAGTTTTTAAAAAATTTTTTAATTTAAAATTAAAATGTTAAAAAAAATTTATTCGTTATATTTCTTTAAAATTGAACGCTAAAATTATACCAGCATAGTTATTGTTCATTTAATTCTTTAGCCCATTACCGAATTTCGGGTAACATTCGTTAATTATTGTAAGTTATAGACAAAAATTCTTTTATTTTAAAAATCCTTTTTGAAACTACTGGTAATTTTTATCCCATGGGTAATTGTATTGTTAATATCAATTATCATCTTCCATATGATAACGCAAAATATTGGGTCCCCGCAACACTTGGTTTTGATATGAGTAAAAAGACCTTGACTTCCAAAATGCCGTGATACGGTATTATTACACAATTCAAATCATAAGTGTTATTGCTGAATTATGCATTAGTACGGTATTGTCACATGAATTTTGTGTTAATACCGTATTACTGCATTTTGGAGCTTAATACTAGATTTAAAATTCTAATAATATCCAATTTATTTAAAATATTATTGAAATTTCTTAACATGTATAATATATAAAAGATTAAATGAATTTAATGCGAAAATTCAAAAAATAAATCTTAATAATAATTATTAAATAATGGACAATTTATTAAAATCCCATTTATGAAGTTAACTTATTTAGTTAGCTTCACATTGCAAACATTACAATACCAAGTAATGTTTTCTAAACTATTATGGAAAATTTCAATTTGCGTTTATTATGAGTGTCTATACTATCGGATTTCTGTGATGAGTGTCTATAATATCGAGCTTGATGTATAAATATGAAGAAAACTGAAAATAAATATAACAATTCGCGATCGAAGCTATAGTTATTTTAAAAAGCAAAGCACTTAAAACATTTTCGCGATTATAGATAATAAATACAAACATTAATCACAGTGAATTTTAAGAAAAGAAATGTCAAATTCAAGAAGCAAATGTCAACATCAAAATTTTTAATAACAAAATTTTACAATTTTTGTACTGGAAATTAAAAATTTCCTCAATAGAATTTATACATTATTCGATTTTAAGTTATAAATATTCGAATATGCATCATATCGTAAAATATCGTAATTTTACAACATTATCACAAAAATATGAATCATTTATAGTAAACATTGACAACAGCATAAATTTTATATAAATTCAAATAAAATTCAATTGAATTTTTTCAATATTGTTTGCGAAAATAAGGTGAAAAATTAAAATTTTTATTTTATGCTTTAATAATAAATAAAAAATTTTATTGTACACTTGAATTGTGAAACTACATAATTATAAGTACATGTTATATTATTTTATTTTTTTTTTATATTCTTAAACTACCAAACCTAAAAAAAATTTCTATTCAATTTTAATAAAAAAATATAAAAGTTTCAAAATAATAATTGCAATCTAATCGAAATAAATTTTGCCGAGCCCATAATATTTTTTTTTTTCATATAAAACACAATAAAATTAATTGTATATTTTAAGAGAGCAGTTGGTCAAAACAAAACACCAACAAAAAAAAAAATGGCAGTAAAAAGAATATTATTGATAAAGATTTTAATTGAATCAAAAAGCATACTTATTGTGAATGTATGTAGAACTTATGCTATGTTTACCCTATTCAAAACACCTTAAAATCATACTAACTTTAATATAATGATAAGATTGTCAAATAAAAATGTAATTATCAAACAATTATTATTATTCTATGTATGAATGTATGTAAGGTGTATAATACCCTTTTATTTTTCTTTCTATAATGCTATCAATTTTATTAGTTTTTATATATTTTTTTTAATGCTAGACTCTATGCTTCTAGTATAATTATAAATCTATAATTTGAATTATATTTCTAATAGGTATTCATATAACATAATAAACAGAGACGGATTTACTATGTCAGGAACGTCCGACTATTGAAATTCTTAAGATAAACAAAACTGTTCATAGTGTCTCAAGAATTCATCTTAAATAATTGAGATTATCACCGCAGTGGTTATGACACAGGTCCTTTAACCAAATGGTTTTGGGTTCAAACTCCGACCAGGTCGCTATAAAAATTATATTAAATATTATACGTTAGCTTAACAAACAATACATAAAAAATAACAACTTATAATATACAAGTAATTTGCATATTACCATAATATTCGATATAAAAAAACTAAGAATAATAAACAATAAATATCAATAACCCCTTAAAAATATTTAATATAATGAAAAACCTGCGGCAGGGTAGTCACCTACCCAATTAACTATATGACTCAATGAAACCGGGGGATGACTATTCATTATATCGTACACTAGCCCTTTGCTCCTCCTAGGAGTGAAAACGATACAAAAAAAAATGAGATTATTGCATATATTTAAGGGGTACTGTTTGATTATTATGCAGTTCTGAATACAGTTCGCCATTTTTAATTATCGATTTTATAAAGCTATTTCTAGCTTATTAAACAATATTTGTAAATTTTCAGAATTGTTTTGTTCTTGGAATTTAATATAATTTGTTAATTGAGCGTCTCTACCCCTCTTCATTTCTGAAATTGTACTTTTATCTTCCTAAATAATAAAGTAAAAATAATTGTAAATCGATTCTGCCCCTTGTGGCAATGTTGATAAACTTTTACATGCAATTTAATTGTATTATGGTTTTGCACAATTCAAAAATTTTATTTATATAATTTAAAATTCTTATTGATTATGATAGTTTACATTTGCAATTAATAATAAAATAAAAAATATATTATCAATTTCGGAAACCCTTGCATATAATGAGGTACAATGGATTGTAATCTGTTCACGTGATTATCAAAACCGGCACTGTGTATAATATGTAGATTCATCGATAAGTCTATTAGTCTACCATTGTAAATATATTGTAATAAAATAAGCTTAAATTAGTTATTAGAAATTTTTGCAACATTTTATACAAATTTTTAAAATCTACCAGATGAAGAAGCCTCTTTAACTCTTAAAGAGTTTGTCACAACAAAAAAAATAGGATATTTGAAACAATATTCTGTACGTACATGTGCTTTACAAAATGAATGAAAATTAAAAAAAAGAAACGGAAATTTTTTATCAATTTTCTGTTTTTTTTTTTTCAATAATCTCATGTTTTAATATTGTGATTTCAATTGAGTCTTCATATTGATTAGATAACCTCATATTTTTGCATAAAAATTTTGATTTAATAAATGGTATTAAAACATTTTAGATATTTTTAATGATACAAATGCTTATCAGAAATAATTGACAAATTATGTATAAAAATTAGAATCGTACGATCTCATGTTTTTATGGCAAATAACGGTAGCTATATAAAATGTGAAGGTCATAACCCGAATGGCTTTTAATTCGAAGAATGCAATTTTCCGAATAAACACAATTTGATAAAATTTTCCTCTGTTGTTTTTTAATAATAAAGGCATTCATAAATATATTGTTATTGTGTGTTTCAATAGTAGATTGTATGTAGCAATCAATGTAAACAAAACAAATACTTAGTAATCATGTGAATTACAGTATAAAGCAATGTAGAGAACATTTCGTCGGCAATTTCTTCATGCCTCTGTAGCTCAGTTGGTAGAGCGTCCGCCTAGAAAGCGGTAGGTCACTGGTTCGAGTCCAATTCGAGGAGAAAAATTTTTTAATTAATTTTTCTGCCTTTAACTCGTTCCTTTGATTACGTCATCCATCTGTTCTGCAGTCGCATGAAGAAATTTCCATTAAGTTAAAATATTGAACGTCTTGAGACCCGCGTCATTTTTGTAATACAGTGAGTCATATTGAACCATGGAGTATTTAATTTTCAGTATTGAATTTTTTTCGAATATCTTTTTTCAACAGAGTTGTAATTTGTATATTTGAATAAATTTCTTAAGAAATTAACAACTAACTTAAGTTCTATGTGAAGAGCCATGGTATTTTCATGTTATAACTCTAGATTTTGGAAGTTAGAAGATCTCTAGATGTAATATCTCGTGCCATTTTTTTCACATTCGGACCAGTACTTTTCAGCCTTAATAATTAATATCTTAACCATAATTAAACCTCAGAATTCTGTAATCTCTAATTTATTACAATTTTGAATTTAAAACTGATCCCCGATTTTATGGCCTTAACTCTCATGAAATTGACTTTCTTCATGACTTTGTTCCATTTAGAATAAACTTAATATAAATTACCATCTCTTTGTTCATTTAATAGGAATTTAAATATTTCATTTTTCAGGACAAGAAAAAAAATTTTCTCTAAAAACAAAAATGCAAAAATACTAAAAATTTAAAAAATAAAAAAAATAAAAATCAATAGAAAAAATATAATAAAAATCAATAAACTAACATTTATATTTCTATAAAAAAAAATAAAAGAAAATATTGAAAAAAATAATGCAAAAATAAATATAACTTACATATAGAAGAAAAAAAAAACAAGAAAGGAAGAAAAAAAATATTAAGGATATTAAGGATACTATAACAAATTCAAGTAAAAAACTCATAATAATTTCATATACAAAAAGAAAATTCAATAAAGTGCTAACAAAAAAAACATAACACAAAAAAAAAAATCAAATTTCACATGATTTGTCTTTGTATTCTAAGATAATATAAAAGAGTCCTTTTTATTAGTTATATAAGAAAAAATATAACACAATAATAAAATATCCTTTAATATAATAAACCATATATATATATACACCAGTAATATCATTACAAATAAACAAGTGCACAATAAAATAACAAAAAGAAAATTCATAATAATAATAATAAAAAAAAAAGGACATCACTTCGACTATATTTAGGATTCTTTAATAAATAAACACAACAACAAATTTAATGTACATTTAAAGTAAAAAAAAGTAAAAAAAAAAAAATTTCAAACAAAGAACAAAACAAAAAAAAAAGAAGGAATACAAACGATATTCATCCAATATTACCGTAATAAAAAAAGGATATGACAACAACTTGTACAACAATGACGGGTAAACCATCTCATCCGCCGGATCATATAAAAAGACCAATGAATGCTTTTATGGTTTGGTCTCGAGGCCAACGAAGAAAAATGGCACAGGATAATCCGAAAATGCATAATTCTGAAATATCAAAACGTTTAGGTGCTGAATGGAAATTATTAACTGAAAGTCAAAAGAGACCATTTATTGATGAGGCAAAAAGATTAAGGTATATACATATTCATTTATTACATATATATATATATATATATATATATTGTATGACTTATAATATTTGTATTGTGCCTCATTTTGTATAGATACCTTCTATATAATGTAGATATTTTTCATAAGTAATTTGATATTAAATGTATTTCTTGTCTTCAATATATTCTCACATATTGTGAAATATTTAAGAATAATTTACATAATAATGTTGAGAATGAAAGGATTATGATGAATTCACAAAAATTATAATATGATTTAATCTATTGTCAACAAATTGTATATATATTTATGATTATCATTATTACATCCGAAACTATTTTATTTTAAAAGAAATTTTGCTCTAAGAAAAAAATTTTTTTTCTTTTTTGAGAATCAAAGATGCCTAAAATATTTTTTTTTTTGGGAAAATTACAATAATTATTATTGCATTCAATCATATATCGTATAGGGCAATATAATTTCAATGGCTACTAAATATTTTAATAGCTATTTCTTAACAATTGATAGAACAGTCTAAATACTTAGAATAAAAAATATTAGTTCAAATTTGACGACTTCGTATTGTGTAGTTCAGTATATTAATTATGAGCTGGATTACCTATACATACTGATAAAACTATATGATTATCCATTATAAAGGTCCATCAATTGACGGCTCATTTAGTTTTCGCTAATATTTTGATTGTTAGAAGGGTTAGGAAACAACAAATAGTTTATTCGTTTTTGCATTTTATATGGTAACTATATATGTGGTTGGGACTTCAATAAGATTTTTGAATAAATGTGGACTACCTTACTTTAAAGAAGATATTCTTTTTTTCATTTTTGGTTGAAATTTCAATAATTTTAATATTTTTCGTCGATTGGTATTTCGACAATTCGACTAGAAGATCAGTTTGTAGTTACGTACTTATTTATGCATTTTACAAAAAGTTCATTACGAAAACAGTAAAAACAATTTAAAAATTATCTTCGTCAACAATCTTCAATTATTTTACGTCTACCTGTATTGTTATTAATATGAGTGTATTGTATAAACAATTGTTTTGTTACAATTGAATAATATTTCAAGTTAAAAATAATTGAATCAGGAAACTTGGATTTTGAATTACACATCCTGTTATCAAAAAAATTATTGTTTTCTTGCTTAATGTAAGGTAAACGTAAAGAAATTCACATTGATAACAAAATTTATATCGTGACTATTGTGTGGGCTGAAATTGAATTACATAAGCTTTACTTTTGGAAATTAATCAGTTTAGTGTAAAAGTACAGAATGACTCAAAATAAAGAAAATTTTTTAAACAATCTTTATTTAATTATTTCACGATAAAGGAAATTATTAATTTTAATGAGAAATAGTAATTTCATTTTTATTTTAATTTTTTTAAAATAATCAAAAATATTCAAGATGTTTGTTCTTAGTGTTAAAATAAAAAAATTAATTTTTTTTATAAAAAGTGTTATCAAAATGCAAATAAAAAAATTTTTTCCTTTTCAATAATTCTAATCGAATATCGAATAATAAGGAAATGAAGAAGGCTGTACAAATTCGTCAATATGAAATTCTTAAAAACTAAGCTCAATTTTTTTTTTTTGTTTAACATTTTACACAATTAAACTATTCTTGTTTTCTCGGGCTTATATAATGATAACAAAGTGTCAACACTTAATAAAATAATTGGAAAAAAATTCTTTATTTAAATTAAACAATGATCAAGAATAAATAAAAATAATTCTTTTGAATTTTTTTAGTTTTGTAACTTAAAAAAAAAAATGACGAGACCATATCGGTAGATAAGTTAAGACAGTAAAATTATAGGGTGTCTATTTCACGTATATAGACAGAGGCTATAAAAACTTCATCATTCTCCAAGACAATATTTTGAATGGATTCGCAGTTTAAAAAAGTTACCACTAAAAATCCGAAAAATAGTGCGATTCGACTCATTTTTGTCTTAACGCCTTCTTTACAGTTAGACCAATTCACATCAGGAAGGTCAGTAGATCTAATTGCAAAATATGTATAGAAAAATGCTTTATTCGATGTTATTGAACAGTGGTAATACGATCGAACCTTACTTTAAAAGGAGGCTGTCACTCTACTCTAAATGAGACTTGAGAAAAATTCCTACCGTACCATGATTGATGATATTGTCTTCCCGAATGAGGATGACATTAAATTATCAAGAAGGTGAATTATTAAAACAGCCCAACCCTGCGGTCCATTGATCGCAACCATTGACATTTCAATTCATATTTGATGATAAGTTGATTTATCATTCATTTTTCACTTCTCAATTATATCCCGCCAATTTCTATCCAAAGAAGAAACCACTCATGTGTGGCACGAAAGGTCGCATTAGCATTCCCCAAATCAGCATTTATAATTCGAGCCGATCCAATTAAATATGGACGGCTCGACTAACTGCCGCTGCATGTATAATAGACCCATAGGTGGTATTGTCAGAGAATAGTTCCACATCGAGAAGACCCCAAGGATAATGTGTTTGACCTCAAATGTTCTTTATGTCTCCTGAGACAGATAAAATTTGAAAATCTCAGTAGAATTTCCCATATAATATATACAAACTGGCGCCTGTGCAAGAGAAACTTCTTCTCCAAATTAATTCTCATTTGTAGTTTTAAACATATCTTTCTCTGATAGACTTCTTTAATATTATTTTTTTGCTTAAGAATTCAAAAATAGTTTTAAACGCACATATACACGGAATTATCCCCATTTCGATAAAGCACAATAAATTTGGTCGTGTAACTAAAAACTCTCTTAAGAATCAATAAAACTTTAAGCAAAAAAATTTTAGTTTTAAATTATGTATTCCTAGCTAGATAAAAAAGGCTGTGGTGGGAGAGCTATTGTGAGATTTAAATGTCTTCGACGTAGATTTCATTTATAGCTTAAAAAATTGTCAATTCTAAACATCTAAGATCCGGTCAATTTTAACTCTAATTCAAACACAATAAACATTAAGGTATACAATAAAAAAAAATAAATAAATTTTGTTTATTTTTCCCATTCAAAACTTAGATAAACAAATCAATCCACATTTGAAATTCTTTTCCAATATGTACAATAAAAAATTTATTATTTCAGTGTTTCTGTTTTTTCTTCTCTCTCATTATTATCTCTATTATTTTTGCATTTTATTTTACGCCATTTTTATATTCATAATTCCATGTACATATACATATGTGTGGATTGTAGACATTGTGAGCTGATTGTTATATTTTCTAAAGATATGTTTATTTTATAATTTTATTATTACTAATGTATAACTATAGCAATTCCACCCTTTAATAAAAAAAAAGTAAGGCTTCCTTTCTTATAGAAAAAAAATTGAAGTAATTTTTTTCTTGTTTGTCTTCACTGTTTTTTTTTTTTCAAAATCTTATCAATAAAAAATTAATAATCACCTCTTTTGAATAAATTCACAATTCAAAATCACCAACCACTTCAAAGTGGTGCTAATGTTTATTTAATTATGTTTATGTATAAACATATCAGCTTATATTTATTGTAAGACGTACATGTGTACAAACGTATATTGTATGCATATCTATTGAAAAATCTTTATCAGTATTTTTACTGTTTGAAATTATGATAATTTTGTTTTCATATTGTTATTTTGTTTTTCGTTTTTGTTTTCATTATTTTTCTTTTTCTTTTTTATAAAAATGGCGGCAAAATATTTGAACGCTGCTTTAAAATTATTTTTAATTAAAAATTTTCTAAATCAAACAAACAGCAGTTTACACAGTGACCAAAGTCAAATTCCAATTTTATAAAGAATAACCTCGTAAAAAACCTATCAACTGAAAGCTTAATGATATTACGGAATTGCTAGTTGTGGTATTTAACAATTCTAAAATCGTAAATAAAAAACCAAAAAGTAGTAATAACAATTTTTATTAGTTTATTTCATGAAGTCCTAAATCATCGAAACCATCACAGTCAATTAAAATGGAAGAAAATGTTAAATTCCTGTTTAAGTACACAGGCACATGTTGTAAAAATGTTGGTTTGGTTGACATGATTTGTAGACTCAATCTTGTCACATTCCAATTAACACCATTTTACCGTTTTGCTATACTCTACCAGTCTATAAAAAATAAGTTCCTATATCCGAAAATTAATAAATATATCCGAATATATTGGTTGCTTATCCAAGCTAAACAGTTCTTTTGAAAAAGTTATCTAAACGAAAAACAGAAAAGTATCTAACACTCGTTATCAATTTCGGAACTATATCCTATTCGGTCAAACGCTATAATATTTTGGCTCTATCCAGTATCTAAACTGCAACCACTGCGAAATTATGACTTGATAGGCGGTTATAATACAACCACATTTTGAGTCAGTGGTTTACGTACCGTACAGATTGAAATACGATTACTCGTAAACGTCACCAAAGGACTACCTACGACTTATGAGGAACATTTTAAGAAGTGTCTTTCTTGTTCCCTAAAATTTTTGCGTTTATTTCTTAATATATATCGTTGATCAGAAACTTTAAACGGATAAAGATCCTATTTAGTGATAACGCTATATGATTCACAAAACTTATTTCCGTTATTTTAAATTTCCTTCTCTACAAGTATATTTTCTTAAAAGTAACGAAATAACTAAAAATAATTCCAAAACTATTCTAATATCAAATGTTTTCTTAATTTTAGAGCACTACATATGAAAGAACATCCAGATTATAAATATCGTCCAAGAAGGAAACCAAAAACTTTAACAAAATCACCAATACCACATAGTAATCAACAAAATAATCATCATCATCAGCATCATCATCAACATCTTCCAAATAATCATCGTAGCACAAATGAAACAAATAATAATAATGGTAATGTTATTCATCCAACAACAACACAACGACATGCCGCTTCATTTAATAATCCTTTTGATTTATCACAAGTTCAACGTCCACCTAGCATATATCCATATTATACAGGTTTAGATCCAGCATTACCTCATACAATAACACCAACATTAGTTAACTTAGATTTACAAGCTCGATTACATGGTCATTTATTAACAATGGGTAATTTATATCCAGCATTATCACCTTGGCGATATTTACCATTAATACAAGCCGATACACCACCATCACCTCCGGAAGATAGTAAAGAATCATTGGTGCCGACAACAGCAACATCTGCATTATTATCAGCGTATAGTGCTAGCGGGACAACTATTCAAGCAACTAAAGAATCACCACCATTAACACCAAATGGTGCATCTCAACCATTACCTAGTGTTATATGACCAACTCCATTGCGCTTCAGCGCTACAGAGCACGCTGCCGTATAATCAGAAGCAGAAAAACTATGTATGTAAAAAAAAAAATTAATGAACAAAAAAGTTTAAAACAAAATGTACGTAATTTTTCAATTAAATTTAAAAAAAAAGTACTTTTTAATATACACATATAAAAATATGTAGATTTAAAAATTTCCAATTTTGTTAAGTTTTAAAATTTAATATCGAAATATTCAAGAAATTAGTTTTTTTTTTTTTTAATTTTTATTGTAAATATAAATTTAATTAAGTATATTCACAAACATGACAAACAATTCTTTAGTTTAAGGTGCAATAATTACATTTTAATATATTAAAAATAAATTATAAAAAAATATGAATTAATTAAAAAAAAATTGACATTTTTTAGATTAAAATTTCGTTAAAAATTTTCGTTAAATTTTTTGTTCTTCATTTTATATTAAAATTATTTTTTAAAAGAAATTTAAAACAGATTAAGCCGGTATCAAAACATTGAAATAATTTCATTTTGTGATAGTGGCTCGATCTGCCATAAAATATTTAAAACAAATTTCAACCATATCAAAACAAAACAAAAATATTTGTATAAAATAATTAGAAAATAAAAGAATATTTCAAAAAATATAAAAAATTTTTTAAACATTATCGGTTGTAAAAAATTTAACGAAGGAGAATCACCGATTTTTAACTGTAATCGTAATTGTCAATAAGTCTTATTAAAAAGCCACAAAATATCAGGAAAACGGAAAAAAAACAAGGCCTTAAAATTAGAACTTTTGCTCCTTCCAGAACTCTCATATATAGGAATGTTTTGGGATTTAATGAACTGTACGAAAAAGATACCAAAAACTATTACACGAATCGTTATTACAGGAATTTTTTATTGTAAGAAGACTTATCGTCTTAATTTCTTAAAATAAAAATTAAAATTAAAAATCTATAATTAAAAGTACCGGCGGTCTGACCTGCTGCAATAAGCAATTAAAACGTTATTAACGTAAAACTTGCAAAACAAAAAACTCATCAACAAAAAATATTGGAATTGACCCTTTTGTTCGTTTTATTTTTTCTTATTTAATTCAATTATTATACTCAAAATATGCAAGTGAGCCTCTTCAAGACACAACTATATTATCAGTTCTTTAACATTCATAATATAAAATTCACTCGTCCCACTGCGTTTTTCTCCTTTAACGACCTACGCACATTTTCCACTACAGTTTATATATTCCACATTATATATGTTATAATTTTGATTTCTGATTCACACAAATTAATATCCATTTTTACTTACAAAAGCGATACAATGAGCATCTAAATAAGACAGGAAATTTCATTATCCTTAGGAAAAAAACATAAAAAAAATCTAAAATAGAATACAAAACAGAACTCATAATCACGTCAATAATTTCCAGATAAAGAAATCACTAATCACATCACAATGGGTTTTCATTCCAAACAACAAAAAAAAAAGAAAATTGTATCAACACACTCTATACACGTAAGTCTAGATGTAGCACAGAATTAAAAATTTCCAACAAAATTATATCTTTATTTTCATAGAAAACATTTGTGAAAATTATCTTAATAATTCGTGTATTATTCTACATACTACACACAAAGGACGAGGGTAATAAATGAAAAAAAAAAAAAGAACGTAAAATATACTTTACCCCTTGCTAAAAAAATTCTACTGTACATTTATAACTACAAATTATAAGTGTTACCCACCCTACATGCAGTCAAAATAAATACACTACAAATCTTAAGTTAATAGTTCACACATGAAAGACTCGTCAATAACAAGCGTATACTATATTTTACGATGTGTTTATACAAATATTTTCACGCATACATCTACATACATGTGCTCTTTATCCCTTAAAAATCTTTATAACCTTATTTTCAATTTAAATGAGAAGGGCGTTTTATTTTCAATTATAATGTAAAATAACAGTTTTTTTATTAGATAATTTTGAGGCAGTTTTTATTGAACGTACATAACAGTTATAATTTTTTATTCCTTGTCTCTTAATATTTTAATAGAAAATATTTAACCTTAAATAAATCCTATAAAATTTTGTAAAAAAAAAACTTTAGTGTGGATAAAATTTATTAATCGAATGTTAACCACAAGGGCTTCCATCATTTCGTCAGTTCCGATACATAAAATATTAATTAAAGCCGAAATATAATAGCTTTCCTAATCGTATGAGCCTGAGTAGACTGAGTTAACCCACTACTTACAGGCAACAGATGATCCATCATTTTCAAAGAGTAGTCCGCATTTATTCTTGTGTTATAACTAGAGAGTCCTTTAAATACCTTCTTTATCAGCAACAAAATTTAGTTTTATTCAATTGTACAACTTGTCTTGCCTTCACGTTTATTTTAACTCTTTATTTTTCGTTATTATTTTAAATCATATGAACACTATTAGACTTCATTCCGTCGTCAACACTCTCCTGTTGACATATTTTAATGTATCCTTATATAATGAAATTTTTGGCCCACACTTATAATTAACTAAATCGAGATGCGATTCTTGTACCCCTTTTTTTTAAGAATTCAAAAACTCTTCATTTATTGAAATAAAAAAAATTGTTGTTTTATCTGTTCATAACTTAAGATTTACGTAAATAATGTTATACGCTTCTTAAATTTTGTGTGAGTACAAGTTGCGAAGCAATAATTTATTTATGGAAACATAATCGTACATACGAGTACAAATAGGTAATACAAAAATTTATTGTGCAAGGACTTTATACCTTATTGAAGAAAAAACTATCTCTCAGTTTTAATACTAAAGGTAAATAGGTAATGAAAACGGATAATATCAACCAATTTTTTCAACACAATTAAAAAAAATTTTTCTCGTTTCCCAAATAATAACAGAGAGCATCAATTGTTCTATAAAAAGTGAATTTGAAAAATCTCTAACGACAACTAATTAAATACTCTTCAATTGTACTTTTAAATGACCTCTTTCTTATTTTATATAACTACATTGTTTATACCGTAATTATACATGGAATGCACAATGCAATCTTAGCAATTATACAAAAAAAAAGTATTAACAAAAATAAATGGAGGCATTTGTATAATATAAGACCAAGATTACGCTAAACCTAAAACAAGATAACTTAAAAAAATCAAAAAAAAAAACTTAAACATCACCCAAATCCTATCAAAAAAGTATCTTTTGTACAATCTGACTCCATCAGTCGCACATTAAACCAACTAGACCTCTGCCAAGGTCATAAACCATCTTCGAAAATATTTCAGTTCCAAACGAACTGCTTAATCAAATTCACACAAAAGATGCTCCACCAGGCACAATCCGCAGACCAATTTTATTATCCGCAGACCTTCGGAAGGCATCCTGTGAGTGCTCCCACCAATAAACTCAAGTCTGGACCATGATGTTTAGCCAGTTCTCGTTCCTTTTCTCCTACAGGAGATATAGATTTTTTGGGATAAGAAAGGCTGAGACAATAATTCTAATAGTTGACCCTGACCCACTTGTCCCAGTCGTTTAAAGCGCCCACAACTATTATTCTTCACAAGCCATCAACTTCTTTGTTCAGCTATACGTAATGTCCCGGGACTCACGTCAAGGTTACCTTAATGTACCTAATCAGCACGACTAACAGTTTAAGTCTCATTACACCGGAAGAGAAGGCCCAAAGACGGCTCTACTGTCGCCGTAATGAAAAAGAATATTGTAGAGATGCCTGACGCAGATAGCGATATAGGGGGGGGGAGGGGGGATTTATTTGACATATTTAATTGGAATTATTTAGGACACCAGCTCCAGACGCATTTGATTTAACTTTGTAAATTAATTTACAAATTTTTGTCGCGTCTGTTGCCTAATTCACGGAGACTGCTCCATATATTTTTTCTCCCTCCCTCTGAACCATGGGATGACCTTATTTTCATAGAGTGTTATATAAATAATTAAATGAATTATTTGAAAGATATTCACCTGGCCACAAACCGTGCTTGGTTTCTACCTTCTTATTTTCCTTAACACCATCAGTATAATACAAAAAAAAATACTAATGAATTTCACTTTTTTTAATGACACCATTTTCTATATCACTAAGCCACAAACGTGTATACATACTAATGAAACTTAAAGAAAAAGATATAGAAAAGAATTTCTCCTTGAAAAAGCAATGATTATTTTTAATGGAGTGGAAAATTAAGTAGGCGAGAAAGTCAATGATGACGATGAATCGTCCGATGAAAAGGTTAAATAGCCTTTGATTTTTAAATTGTTAAGCAAAGATGCTACACAACAGAAGAAAAAGCATAAAAACAATCATTTACTATCATTTTCATTGTATACTCGCATTCCAAAGAATATAATATTAATTTTTTTTTTTTCAAAACGCGCAGGATTCTTTTATCAGTAAAACTTCATCAAATAAGATTGTGCGATGAATACCAATAATGGTTACGATTTCAACTTATAGAAAAAAAAATTTTTCCCTTTATAAAAAAATAAGAACTTTTTTCTATCAAAAGATCAAATCTAAAAGAAAAAGCATACAACAAAACAGGAAGTAAAACGAGGACGGGAAGTTTTTACATAAAGGACAAAATAATAATTTTATTTTTTATGTATATAGATTTTTATATATGTATGTATTAAATTTATTTATAAATAGTAATGTGCAAATGTTTGTATATTTAAACAAGGACCTTATTATCAGTCAATTGTGCGTATACTTCTATTGAAATGTTGACAATTTGTGTAAAGAAACAAAAAAGAAAAGAGATAAAAAAAGTGTTTTTTTTTTTTTCAGTTCTTTCCAAAAGTTGTTGTTGGAGTAATTGTTAATGAATAACTTTTATTGTAAAAATTCTTAAATTTTATAAAAATTTATTTAAATTTCAGTGTCGACTCTTGAATTTTAAATTAATTACGCACCTAATTGTCAAATTTTATTCTTAAACATTTCAACGCAGCTTTTTTAAGAGACCGCTACTTGATTCAGGTAAAAATATTTCTTTATGATTTTATTGTTATTCAAAGCAATTCAATCTTCAGTATTCCGCATGCCTAACAAATTTTTATCACTGCTATGAAGTTCCGGATACATTGTTAAACCAACAACGGACATTGTCAAAGAGCAGCA